ACTTTCTTTTTTTTTGTAATCTACTTTCAAACATACTCTGCCTGAGGCCAGAAGCTGCCACACAGCTGGGGGGGTAGTTGATAGCATTAATGATTGTAAAGCCCTACCCGATGGAATTGAACAACAGAACTAACTGTGCAGGAAGGGAAGATATATTGGAATGAATAAGAGCAATACAATTTTTTAAAAACAAACTGGATTTTGATAAGAGTTGTATGAACCCCCAGTAAAACGATTTTTAAAATTTTTTTTAAAACATAACACTCTTGTCCGTGAAGGGTTACACAGCAGTTAAGGTGCCCGTTAAGCAATGTTGACACATGTTGTGGTGGCCTCCTTCACAAGCTCACAAGCCCTCATTCCATGGGCTTTTCTGTTTGGTCTGTATTTTAATGTATATTGTTTGTTTATTGGATGATATTGAGGTTAAAAATGAAGCAATGTACAGTGTCAATTGAGTGGCACATATTGGGGGGAACCAAACCCCAAATCTACTGCTCTCAAAGCCCCGTCCTGCCTCACAGCACCCCTACAGGATGAGCAGAACTGCTCTATAGGGTTCCCTGGGCTGTAAACCTTTACAAAGCAGGCCGCCCCCTCTTTCTCCTGCCAAGCGGCTGGTGGGTTTGAACCACTGGTCAGCAGCCCACTGCTTAACTAACTGCGCCATGTGAGCTCCTTAATTTGGGGGAAGTGGCATAGTGGTTACGGCATTGGAGTGCTAACTGCAAGGTCAGCGTTCAAAATCACCAGCCACTCAGAGGGAGAAAGGCAAGGTGAGGCTTTCTACTCTTACAAAGAGTTGTCTCGGAAGCCCATGGGGCAGTTGTACCCTGGCCCAGAGGGTTGCTATGAGTTGGCAGCGAGTTTGGGTTTAGGCACATGAAGCTTGAGGAACATGGTGCCAAGAAGAGTCTAAAGGGGGGAAAAAATGTGTGCTGCTCTTGAGGTTGTTGAATGTGTAAAGCAGCAAATGAGTCCATCGAGAATCTAGGTACAGATAACCCAGAGGATGTCGGCTGGTTTAAACTGAAGAAGGATTAGAGTAGTAAGCTGCAGACAGATTTGTGGAGAGGGCTGAGAACTAACGCCCAAGCCACAGATCTGACCCCATGAGAAAACGACCATGACCCTTCCACCAAACCCCGAGTGCCAGAGCTGCTGCTGGCAAGTCAGCAAAGCGACACACACAACCACACAACATCTCTCACATGGATGTATCTGCTGAGTGAAGCCTAGCTCATGGCTCAGAGGAGGCAGACGTATAGTCTAGCTCTGATACTGGGGAGGCACAAA